GTCCTTAGCAGTCTAAAAAACGGCTTAAATCTTTTCTGATGAAGGTAAATCCAGAAAAGCACTTCGGATGCATGCTATTTATTATGTGTTGTTTTTATTTTTTATCAGTTTATATGCAGGGGCAGATCCAGCCATTTATAAAAGGGGGGGGGGGGGGGTTCCTAACCCAGGATAAAGGGGGGGGGGTCCAACTATATGTCCCCATTCAAATGCCTTGATCGTCAAAAAAAGGGGGGTTCCTATGCGCGTAGCTACGTTTATGTCAAAACGCCCGGGCGTACACATAAATTTTGAAGAAAAAAAAATATTTGAACCCAAATAAATTATTAGAACTGATTAAAAGCCTTGTATTTTTCAAAAAAATCAATAGAACAGCAACATTAAAATGGAGACTTGCTTTTTGACTATCTCTATATAAAGTTTTGATTTTTTTGTCGATTGATTGTTTACCCAACATCTCCTTTTAAACCAATCTAATAAAAATATATATCTCTGATTTCGTTATACTCATAAGATACGAGCATGCGAGTAAATATAGATATAAATTTTAGATTGCTTCTTAACATATCTTTAAGCAACTGTTTTGGTCATTTTTGCTCTTAAATACATTACCATTATATTCCAGATCAATACAATGAATAAATTCAACTGTAAAAAACAAATTAGACTCTGAAAGAGACGCGAAAGGGATATTCAAACTCATTAGTTGAAAACAAACTGACAATACCATGGCAAAAAACGAAAAACTATGAAAAGGCAAACAATAGTATACAAAACACAACATAGAAACATAAGACTTGACAACACGGACCCCACCAAAACCTGGGGGTGATCTCAGGTGCTTCGGAAGGGTAAGCAAATTCTATTCCACGTGTGCAAACCCAGTGATAAGTCTAATTCGGTAGATCACATTAGAGGAAAAGAGGACGGGATTGTGGTAATATCAACAATTGGAACATATCCGTCGTCATTAACCTACTCGTTATGTCGAACGTAAAATTTTCGAAGGGATGATTTCAACTTCATCACTTGGAACTCTTGGTTCAGTAGCTTCCTATTAAGCATCCACTATCTATCAAGGAAAAAGTTAAATCACAAAAATACTGAACTCCGAGGAAAATTCAAAACGGAAAGTCCCTAATCAAATGGCAAAATCAAAAGCACAAACACATCAAACAAATGGACAACAACTGTCATATTCCTGACTTGGTACAGGCATTTTCTTATGTAGAAAATGGTGGATTGAACCTGGTTTTATAGCGCTAAACCTCTCACTTGTACGACAGTCGCATCAAATTCCATTATATTGACAACGATGCGTGAACAAAATGTCACAAATAGGGGTACAACAATAACACAAACCCTACCAAAAACTGGGGTTGATTTCAGGTGCCCCAGAAGGTCATGCTCCATACGTGGCACCCGTCGTGTTCATGTTATTATAAAGCCGGTAAATAGTCTAATTCATTCGTGAAAAGGGAACGGGATTGTAGTTACGACATAAGGAACATATCCGATATCATCTGTATAACGGATATTTCATAACGGCCAACTATCTAATAACGCGTGAACATCATCATTGACGCCACCCAATTCGAACTTGATCTTTGTTTTATGGTAATAAGCATTGTGTATAAGTTTCATTACATTTCATTCAGGCAAACTAAAATTAGAGAACGGAAACAAAAGATTCAGCAATTTTGTCCATTTATAAAGGGGCATAACTCGAGAACGGCAAAAGTGACGCCAACCAAATTCGAATTAGTCTGTAATTAGTGGTAATTAGCAGTGTGTATAAGTTTCATAACATTTGGTTCAGGAAAACTAAAGTTAGAGAACCGAAAACAACAGATTCTGCAATTTTTCCATTAATAAAGTGACATAACTCAAATACGGTAAAAGTGACGCCACCCAAATTTGAACTTCATCGGTACTTTATGGTAATAACAATTGTGTATAAGTTTCATTACATTTGGTTGAGGCAAACTAAAGACTAAGTTAGGGAACGGAAACGAAAAATTCAGAATTTTTCTATTTATAAAGGGCACAACTCGAGAACGGTATCAATCTAAGTATGTGTTTTGTGGTGATTAGCATTGTGTATAAGTTTCATAACATTTGGTTCTAGAAAACTAGTTACAGAACGGAAACACAGATTCTGCAATTTTTTCATTAATAAAGAGACATACATGTAACTCAAGAACGGTTAACGTGATGTCACCCAAATTCGAACTTGATCTGTGTGTTATAATAATCATGATAATAAGCATTGTGTATAAGTTTTATACCATTTGGTCGAGGAAAAACTAAAGTTTGAGAACGGAAACGAAAAATGCAGTATTTTTTTCTACATTTATAAAATGTATAAACATGATAAAGGGGCATAAATCTAGCTACCAATGGGTTGCAATTTAGATGTCTGTTTTATATACATAAATGAACATACATGTATGATACACATAGGTACAACGGACACACAGGGCTTGTACCTTTATACATACATAATAGACAATCGTATAGTATAAGTTGATAGCCGTGAGGTTAAGATCAATGTGTTATAGAGTCAAGTTAGAAGTAGAGCCTTGTCTGTTTATATCTAATCACTGTTTTCTCTATGCTGTCTCTATGCCTTAGTTTTTCCGTATTTCTTATTTTGAATGGTATCGTGGATATTTTTGTAATAATAGCCGGGTTTCTCGGGTTTTTCTTAATAATTATTGGCTATTTCATGTATTTGAAAATAATTAAATTCAATTTATCCGCTTTTGCTTTATAAATATAATATGATTTAATCTGTTTTACTACATACATGTATCTTTACGAATGTTTATTCGCAAATTCGTGATTTGCCCAAGATTAGAATTCTTGCTGGAAATTTCACATTTTACCTAGAAATAAGTTTGAATGTCTTATTTTGAATATAATTTGAATATAATTTAAAGACAGATGTGTTATGTTACATTTGTATTTCTGTAACAAATTAATTGTGATTTTTGAGTTATTAATGCATCATTGAACATGATAACATGGTTATTTAAAATCACTTACAATACCTCCTAATTAAGAAGAGACTTTAATTTTGAAAAGGCATCAACACAATAGTTTAAGTTAGTCTCAGACACATGGGAGAAGCGTGATTCACGAAAAAACAAGAATGTGTCCATAGTACACAGATTCCCCACTAGTACTATCATTTTCTATGTTCAGTGGACCATGAAATTGGGGTCAAATCTCTTATTTGGCATTAAAATTTTAAAGATCATATCATAGGGAACATGTGTACTAAGTTTGAAGTTGATCATGTTGATTGGACTTCAACTTCATCAAAAACTACCTGGATCAAAAACTTTCACCTGAAGCGGGACAGATGGACGAACGGACGGACGAACGAACGATCAAACGAACGGACGCACAGACCGAAAAACATAATGCCCCTCTACTATCGTTGTTGGGGCATAAAAAAACAATTGCTAACCGGGCTTATAGTTTCTTTTTCAAGAATCAACGCGTATCCATTGTATCTCAATACAGACAGTAACATCCAACATCTAGTTTTTTGGCGGCAAAAATCAACGAAAAAGACATTTTTTGTTATCATATTCTGTAAACACATTTATTTTTCAAAAAGGATTCATTTAACTCATGTGAACAGTCATATAACTGCATTTTGCTCCGATACATTCTTCACAGTAATATCCTGTCACAAAATTGAGAGGGAAAAAGCCCTTAAAATGACATTAAATTTTGAATTTTCAAATATTCTCACCACTTGGAAATGTATATTTATTTATTTTGTCTCTTTATTCTATAATGAAGATAAGAAAAAAACTGAAACAGTATGAACAAGTGAAACTGTGAGCTACTGCTCACTGATGATACCCCTGCCCAAATATGGATAATTTTAATAGTGTAAAAATAGGAAGTTGTTGAGTGATGAATCTGAAATCAAATCACACGGTACTACTCACTCATATAAACCTTGAAACTAAATTTCAGAAATCCTTGTAATGTAGTACCTGAGAAAAATGCGATAAAAAATATTCATGGGACAGACGGACGGACTAATGGATGGACGGACAGACAGAGGTAAAACAGCATACCCGACTTTTTTATAAGGATATAAAAAATTTCATCCAATTATTTCCAAATTCCATCTTTAGGCAGCCAACCCTAAATATTGCACTTTAGCAAATAAGCACTGATAAGATATATGACACCATTATATTTTACCTAAAGACAATGAATTGTTGGCAATTTTGGGGCTTTTTTCTCATAAGAAAAGTCCCCAAAAAATGTCATTTCTGAAATCTTTAATTCAATAATACCTTTGTTATGGTATGCTTCATATATCATGTATATTAATTGATTGTACCACATTACTTTTAAGCAATTTTTGTTTTTCGAACCTCTGGGGCCCCTCTTTCTCAGCAAAGGGTAGAGAACCTAAAAAATCAATTTTGTAATCTACAAGTCAACTCTACTTGATTGGTTCTTTTGGGCCCTTTTTTTCTAAAATGGGTTGGGCCAGGACCCCACGCACAATATTTAAACTACAGATCACTATGTTATTGTTAAAATTTGAAAAAAAGGTTTGGTCAAAGAAAATTTAAATTAAATGCTTATTTGGAAAAAAAAACATCCTCAAAAAGTTTCCAATTACTTTACCTTGGTCTTATACACAATGTTTAGAATATTTGAATTGATTACAAATCATATCATACACTGTATATTGCAGTTAAAGTTTATTCTATTTTACATCAAAGGGCAGATCACTCTAACTGCACAAAATTACCATGGAATTAGAACTCTTTTGTGTGCAGTGTAGAATTGCTTAAAATGTATCATATAAAAAAAATGATTAATCATGTAAATGTCAAATGTATGTACTACAGTATGCAAAGAATTATATTGAGATAAAAAATGCTATTTAAAATCAAGCCCGAACAGTAAATAAAGAACAACTCCTTGGGGTCTACATGTATCTCAGGAAATGGATTGCATTCTTATTTTGTTCTCAATCAAATGTGGATACAAGAGCTGTCAGAATGAAAGTAATCCAGAATTTTTAACATTTATTTGTGTTGTGCCATTTTTCAATCTTTCAAGGAACATAACTTCTATACTGTGAAAATTTAAATTGTCAACATCGAACTTGACCTCCATTTTATCATCTGACAGTAACAACATATTAAATTTTAAAAAGCTTTGATTGAATAGTTCATGTTTTCACACAGAAACAACTGGAGTTACAAGCCCACCAGCCTGTTCGCCATACAACTCCAATATCCATAATTAACCAAATTTTTTCTTTGGAAATTCGGTTGAAAATTCATACAGGAGGTATTAGGAATCTTCTCCATCACAGGGTTCTATCTACAGAAATGGGCTGCATCCAGTTTGTTTTCAATCAAATGAGTATAAAATCTATACAGGAGCCTGCTCATTTGTAGTATATTCTGTATGCCATCAGAATTTTTCATATACAAGTTAATAACTGATAGATTTTTGAAACTGCACCTGTTCAAAGTGTATGGTTTATCGTCATCTCTGGCAATGATAACAACAGCATGTAAGGTAACATCCTCATCAGAAAATATCTTTTTCATCACATCCAGAGCTTTTCCCATAGTATCCCCTCTATGAGAACAACCAGTTGCCACTTGAATAAGGTACAACACTGAGTTTTTTTTAGTCTTTGCCTTTTTCTGGGGAGGACAGTTTTCTTCAGTTTCAATTTGCTGATGCACAAAGTAATCAAATCCCATGAAATTTTGTGATTGCGGAAAAGCAACAAAGTCACCTCTTGATGCAATCTGTTGTTTCAGATATACACCAAACAATGCAACATTTCTTAGATGACCTTTAAAATTTTCAGGTAAATCATTTTGGTAAGAATCCAAGGATTTATCAGGAGTCCTAAAATTTTGAGATGGCATAACCACAAATTTTAATCCATTTGTTTGAGAAATATTGTGTTGGATATCAGATTTAAAATAAACGGTTTCAGACACTTCAACTTCAGGTAAGATGACAAGCCCTACTTTCTGCTGAGTTTCTATTAGGAGTTTTTTAAACTCTTTTCTTGCGCCTCCATTCTGAAACATAATTGCAAAGATTTCATCACTGGCTACTTCTTCCAGCATATCTTCCAAATGAAAAGGAAGTCTTCTGCACCATTCATTTGCTAGATAAGGGACAAGATGCCTGACCTTAATATAGAAATCCCCTTCATTGAGATCAAGTCGTAAGACTTCCAAATTAGTTTCTAAATCATTTCTGGTGACTCTGCATTTTTTCATTTCAAATATGTTCACAGCCACTTTTAAAAAAATTGCCTCATCTTCGGTAAAAATACATTCTCCTCTATCTGGAATATATTCCAGTAAAATTGTTGTATGGAGTTGGAACTTTTCATATTCTTTACTACTGTCTGGCTGACATCCTTTAAAGCTTGCAATTTCATTTTGCCTGTCTAATGTGTACTGTCTCAAAACTTCAGCAACAGTTAGACCAGACCTTTTCATGAAATAATCTAGCACCGAATGAAGCAATTTTGGGGTCACAATGAATCTTTCTGAAAATAAAGCATAAATTTCATTTCCAATAGCTGTAAGACTAGAGTTATGATAACCTAGTGACTGCAAGGATCCTTTCCAGATTCTCAAGAAGGAGTCCTCATTCAACTGTAAATCTTTCCCAAAGTCAAGTAAATAATGTGCACATGCTGTAAAACCTGTCTCAATTAATATGAAGTTAATTTCTTTCTCGCTGGTGATCTCCTTTATTTTGTCAAGGTAATGAGAATTGTGCATAGTCACATGATCAACAATAACACAATGACCATCATCAAACTTCTCAGAAAATTCACTAAAAGTTTTCAACTTTTTATCCTTGGAAATTATCTTTTCTAAATCAAAATAATGAATTCCATCATTACCATTTTTCCTACATTCCAAAACATAGTATAGCACAGATGACGTCTTGCCTAACCCTTGAATTCCACTCACATAATTCCAATTTGTCATGCCCAGTATGCAAGCTTGAATGTGTGTAAGAAATGTTTCATGAAATTTAGTTTTTAAGAAGTATCTTCCTGATAGAAAATCTGTTCTCCTTGCAAAAATCTTTGCTTCTTCGTCATCCTTTACATGTAGAAGGACACTTGATTCAAATGAAGTGCTGGGAACCTGAAACACAAAAAGTAACAAAAGTAAATATTTATGCATTTAAAAATGTCAAGGAGATTTTGACGAGGTCAGACGTTGTCATATGGTATTTTGAACCCCATCGAAAATTGACCCCGGGGTCAAAATACCGCTTTGGTAAATTGACCCCCCCCCCCGTATGGAATAATGACCCCCATGGTAAATTGAAACCCCCTGTTTTTTTTTCATTCTAGATAATTATTAGACCATTATACAATATTTTGAAGCTTATTGTGGATTGAAAATCAGACATACAATTAGGGGAGGTCAATATTCCATGGTAGGTAAAAAAAATACCATGGCTTGGTATAAGTGCTCTGAAGTCTTTACCAACAAAATTTCATTCAAAATACTTATTGAAGCATTATAAATAGACCATGTAGCTTGCATGATTTGATTATTTGAAAACCTAACATATAAAGGTAGTTATATTTTCCATGGTAAAATAGGGGTAGGGGGTAAAATTACCATGTCAAATAGTTAAATAGTAAAAAAATCTTTACATTATGTTTTATATGTACCATATCATGCATATATTATTATAAAAACTTTGAAATAATTTGATTTTTGAAATTGGAGGTGTTTAGACAAGTGGGTTTCATTTACCATGGTCATGATGGTAGGGGGGTCAAAATACCATGGCTAAAAAAAAAATGTTAAAAAAATCTTTTCCAACATGTTTCATATATACCAAATACTAGCATGACTAGTTACAGCATTATAACTATGTAAAGCCTAAAGGAGTTAGAACAGATATGATTTTTGAAATTTTATGTCTATAGTAGAGGATTCATGCATCAATATTCCATTGCAGGGGGGTCAAAATACCATGGAAGGAGTTAGAATAGCTAGAATTTTTGAAATTGGAGGTGTATGAGGGTAGGGGGTCAATATACCATGGCAGAGTGGTCAAAATACCATGGCCAAGTAAAATTTTCCAAACATCTTTTCCAACATGTTAAATACATACCAACTACTTATTGGAGTATTATTACTATGTAAAAGAGTTAGAATATCTATAATTTTTGAAATTTGATGTTTATAGTAGGGGGTTCAATATACCATGGCAGGGGGTCAAAATACCATGGCTAAGTAAAATTATGTTATTTCGAATAGACAGAAAAAATATTACAGTCATTTCTTATAATTTAATTCCAAATTCCATTTTAAACCGGAGTAAACCATTAAAAAACGTTGATGACGTCACGGTCACATGACAAAATTATGTCTATGAGCTGATAAACAAAACAACATCAGCCAATCAGAAGACGCGTTACATCCAAAATTAAATTATTTATATATATATAATATTATAATAAGTTTTAATACTGTCATAAGTATATGGTATATATAAAACATGTTGTAAAAGAAATTTCAAAAATTTTACTTAGCTATGGTATTTTGACATCCCCCCCCCCCCCATTTTATGGTACATTGAACCCCCTCCTATACACCTCCAATTTAAAAAAAAATCAAGCTATTTTAACTCCTTTACATAGTAATAATACTCCAATAAGTAGTTGGTATGTATTTAACATGTTGGAAAAGATGTTTCGAAAATTTCACTTAGCCATGGTATTTTGACACCCCTGCCATATGCATGGTATACAGAACCCCCCCTATACACCTCCAATTTCAAAAATTCTAGCTATTCCAATCAATTCCTTAACAAAGTAATAATACTTGAATAAGTAATTGAAATGTATTCAACATGCTGGAAAATTTTACCTAGTCATGGTATTTTGACCCCCTGCCATGGTATATTGAACACCTACTATACACCTCCAATTTCAAAAATTATAGCTATTCTAACTCCTTTACAAAGAATTTATACTCCAATAAGTAGGTGGAATGTACTTAACATATTGGAAAAGATGTTTGGAAAATTTTACCTAGCCATGGTATTTTGACCCCCTATCATTGTATATTGACCCCCCCCCCCCCCCCTTACACCTCCAATTTCAAAAATTCTAGGTATTTTAATTCCTTTACAAAGTTATTATACTCCAATAAGTAGTTGATATGTATTTAACATGCTGGAAAAGGTGTTTGGAAAATTTTACTTAGCCATGGTATTTTGACCCCCCTGCCTTGGTATATTGACCCCCCCCCCCCCCCTTCTACACCTCCAATTTAAAAAATTCAAGCTATTTTAACTCCTTGACAGTAATAATACTCCAATAAATAGTTGGTATGTATTTAACATGCTGGAAAAGACGTTTGGAAAATTTTACTTAGCCATGGTATTTTGACACCCCTGCCATGGTATATTGAACATGTTGAACCCCTCCTATACACCTCCAATTTAAAAAATTCTAGCTATTCCAATTCCTTTACAAAGTAATAATACTCCAATAAGTAGTTGAAATGCATTACATTTTTCGCCCATTACCATAATGTTTGCGCGCAGATTTAGATTACATTTGCACGCATTTTTTTACAGGTAAACTCAGGGGGTAACTACAGGTAGATAATACTTATTCATTTATCTAACTATTATTTTCCAGCAGGTTAAGTCCCTTTTATTATGCACAACCACTTGGTCCTGGAAATATACAGTCAGGTAAAAATGTAAAACAAAACAAAGCTTCAAGTAAACACAAAACACAAAAACACATTTATGTGCTGAATAAAATTGTTTGTTGTAGTGCAATTATGAGATTTCTCACAATCACTTTAAATTTTTTTTTAGAATTCAATATGAAAAATATATATCATTCAAATTTACAAAAATGTTCAAAATTCATAAGAACTATAGTAATATTTACAATGAATAATCTTTATTTTTACCTGTGTTACCTGCAAAATGAATGCGCGCAAATTTATGTAAACAAAAGCTGTGCGCAAACTTAAAAACTTTTAATCCCCAAATGTGTGCAAATGTAATAAGCCTGCCATGGTATATTGACCCCTCCCCCCTTACACCTCCAATTTCAAAAATCGTAGCTATTCTAACTCTTTTACATAGTAATAATACTCCAATAAGTAGGTGGAATGTATTTAACATGTTGGAAAAGATGTTTTGAAAATTTTACTTAGCCATGGTATTTTGACCCCCCTGCCATGGTATATTGACCCCTTCCCCTTACACCTCCAATTTCAAAAATTCTAGCTATTCTATTTCCTGTACATAGTAATAATACTCCAATAAGTATTTGGTATGTATTTAACATGCTGGAAAAGATGTTTGGAAAATTTTACTAAGCAATGGTATTTTGACCCCCTGCCATGGTATAATAATAATAATAATTACTAGATATCATTGAGATGGGAGCCATCTCTGTGGGCCCCACTGTGAATAATGTGTGGTAAAATTTTGTATCTTTATCATTGGACATGGGGTTGTCAACTGAAACCAAAGTTTTTTACCTTGACCTTTGACCTAGGAAGTTGTACATAAATTATGACACACCCTCTGGTGTTGGTTTATATACATGTCAAGTATAAACTTTGAAATCATAACGGTTCTCAAGATATAGAGCGGACACGATCTTTACCATAGAACATGGTGTTGTCAACTAAAACCAAAGTTTTTGACCTTGACCTTTGACCTAGGAAGTTGTACATACATTATGACACACCCTCTGGTGTTGGTTAACATACATATCAAGTATAAACTTTGAAATCATAACGGTTCTCTAGATAAAGAGTGGACATAATTTGTTACGGACGGACAGACAGACTATCACTATAGGTCATCCGCCATTTGGCCGGGCCCTAATAAATTCTTTATTTTCAGAAGGTTACACAGTTAACAAAACAGTTAATCCCCATGGCCTTCTAATCTACATATAAGAATACACAATTTTTAAAGATAATAATACATAAACACTAGAGGCTCTCAAGATCCTGTGTCGCTCACCTGACTCTACTTTGGTTTTAGAAATCATGTAAAGATAGATAAAAATCATAACAGATACCCAAATAATGATTCAGGCCAAATTTTGATTAATATTGGTCCCGTTATTTAATAAAATATCCTGGTGGCCATCTTGAACAGTAAATCGGCAACAAAGTAGCAACACTTGGTCAGCACTTCATAAGGAACATTCATGCCATGTTTGGTTTCATTCCATTCAGTGGTACTCTGAAAGAAGACATTTGTATGTATTTCCCATAGGGTCCTATGTTAAACTAAGCCCCCCCCCCTAGCGGCCATCTTGGATGATGGATCGACTGCAAAGTAACAACACTTGGTCAGCAACTCATAAGGAACATTCATGCCATGTTTGGTTCAATTCCATTCAGTGGTTCTCTAAAAGAAGACAATTGTATGTATTTCCCATAGGGTCCTATGTTAAACTAAGTCCCCCGCTGTCGGCCATCTTGGATGATGGATCGGCTGCAAAGTAACAACACTTGGTCAACATCTCATAAGGAACATTCATGCCATGTTTGGTTCCATTCCATTTATTGGTTCTCTAAAAGAAGACATTTTTATGTATTTCCCAAAGGGTCCTATGTAAAACTAAGTCCCCCGCTGGGGGCCATCTTGGATGATGGATCGGCTACAAAGTAACAACACTTGGTCAGCATCTCATAAGGAAGATTCATGCCATGTTTGGTTTCATTCCATTCAGTGGTTCACTAAAAGAAGACATTTGTATGTATTTCCCATAGGGTCCTATGTTAAACTAAGTCCCCCGCTGGCGGCCATCTTGGATGATGGATCGGCTACAAAGTAACAACACTTGGTCAGAACCTCATAAGGAACATTCATGCCATGTTTGGTTTCATTCCATTCAGTGGTTCTCTAAAAGAAGACATTTGTATGTATTTCCCATAGGGTCCTATGTTAAACTAAGTCCCCTGCTGGCGGCCATCTTGGATGATGGACCGACTGCAAAGTAACAACACTTGGTCAGCATCTCATATGGAATATTCATGCCATATTTGGTTCCATTCCATTCAGTGGTTCTCTAAAAGAAGACATTTTTATGTATTTCCCATAGGGTCCTATGTTAAACTAAGTCCCCCGCTGG